ACTGGTAGTGGTAGTGGTAGTGGTACTGGTACTGGTACTGGTACTGGTACTGGTAGTGGTAGTGGTAGTGGTAGTAGTAGTGGCAGTAGAAGTAGTAGTAGTAGTAGTAGTAGTAGTAGTAGGAGGAGGAGGAGGAGGAGGACTACCTGTCCAAACACTGTTTAAGCGCACATTTATTTTACTCGGGATTTACAGTACTTTTGTGATGTCGTAGTCCAATACCAACCACCGCTGTTGAAGGTGGGAGGGGGGTGGAGGGGGGGGGTTGGGCCGGGGGGTGATGACGCATTGTTCAAGAGCACGTCCATTTTACTCGGTATTTGCAGTACTTTCGTGATGTTGCAATACCAACCAACGACGATGTTGATGGGTTCATGCGCCAAGTAGTTGACGGGGGGACTAGTAGTAGTAGGAGCAGCTGCAGCAGCTGCAGTAGCTGCAGTAGCTGCAGTAGCTGCAGTGGCTGCAGTAGCTGCAGTGGCTGCAGTAGCTGCGGGCTGCATCGCTGTTCTGTTGTGATCATCCACATGCGCCAGATGTTGCTTAGGCACCATTTTGCGATGCAACGCGGGCTGCCTGTTGCAAGCAACGAGCAGCCTCCGTTATGAGCATGAGCTTGCTGGCTTTGGATCTGTTCAACACTCCCGATGCCACTGGCGAAGATAGGGTGTGGTCAACTGCGCCCATCCGCAAAAATCAATACCCCGTCTTCCCGAAGAGAACAGTAAGCGAATGCTGGGCTCCCTGAAGACTACAAGAGGGCAAGCCGTGCCCTGGTTACCCCGGGTTCCAAGAGCTTGAGATGCTTGGATTCTCGAGTCACCACTTGAACATTGGCCTCTTTGCAAGTCACATCCATCTTGGGGTATGACGCTTGCTAACGTTGACCGCAAGCCCCAGCCCCACCCCGGCCCATCTCCACCCACCCGGCTCGAGCTGAAGCTATAGGAGTCAAAGGCAAGGAAAAGGTACAATCCAACTCCATTTAAGAGACTGCGGGGATGACCGCGGTTGCACCACCCTAATCATAAGGTTTGTAAAGCTGATGTTCGGGTCGCACTGGGGCTGTCATAAAACTGGAGTTCGGGTTCCCCTGACTCAGGGGTCTGTGCAAAATAGTTTGTACCGGTTCGTCTGTAAACTGTTGTTCAAACCTTGGAAACTCCCAGGTGTCTGCAGTCCACACGCTGCCTCGTACTCTCCACGAGACAAGCGCCGAATCAACAGGGAGCGAGCCCCATTTTGAGGCAGGCACCTTCAGCGAGCCACGACAGGTAAAACCGCAGCCAGAAGCCCATGAACAATGCTACTCGGCTCACAGGCCTGGCCAACTTCTGCATGTACATGTCCAGAGTGTCCTCGCCACAGCAACCCCACCATGAGGCGAAAGGCATGCAGCAAACTAATCTTGGTACCTCTGGAACAGCCTCGTAAGAAGCTGCTGGAAAGGACGCCTTGGCCAAGATGGGATGCAGGAAAATCACGGGTTTTTATGGGCCTTATATGGGACTTTCCGAAAACTAGGGTACCTTATTTTGGGGTCCTTATAATAAGGAACCTATTATTTAGGGTACTATGTTACGGTCCCCTATTTTTGGAAACCCCCAGCTCCAGCAGACTTCTCAGGGGCCCAAGAGGCAAG